TCCCCCCCCCCATTCCAGTTCTAGGGACTGAACTCAGGGGTGCCCTATCACTGAGCTGAGTCCCCAGCTCTTTTCATTTCTCATTTTTATTTATTTATTTTTGGGGGGTCAGGGATTGAATTCCAAGGGACACAACCATTGAGCCACATTTCCAGCCCTATTTTGTATTTTATTTAGAGACAGGATCCCACTGAGTTGCTTAGCACCTTGCTTTTGGCTTAGGCTTTCTTTGAACTTGCAATCCTCCTGCCTCAGCCTTTTGAGCTGCTGGGAACAGGTGTGTGCCAACACACTGGCTTATTTTTTATTTTGAGGCTGGGTCTCTAAGTTGTTTAAGGCCTCTTTAAATTGCCCAGTCTGGGCTTAACTTGTGAATCTCTTGCCTCAACCTCTGAGACCCTGGGATTATAGGTATACATTACACCCAGCTGAACATATTACTTTTGTAAAGAAAACATTATTAAACTTGTCCAAAACTGAGCTCTTTCACAAACATAATTATTTTTTAAATAAAACCATCAATCTAGCTCCCAAATCTCTCAAATCTCCTTCCTCTTTCTGTCACCAAATTCTTTACGGATTTTACTCTCTGGGCTGGGGTTGTAGCATGGTGGTAGAGTGCTTGCCTAGCTTGTGTGTGGCAATGGGTTCAATCCTCAACACCACATTAAAAAAATAAATAAAATAAAGGCATTTTGTCCATCTATAACTAAAAAGAAATATTTTTAAAAAACATTTTACTTTCTAGGACTGGGGTTGTGGCTCAGCAATGGAGGGCTCGCCTAGCATGTGCGGGGCCCTGGGGTTCGATCCTCAGCACCACATAAAAATAAAATTGGGGTGTTGTGTCCAACTACAATTAAATAAACAAAATTTTTTAAAAATTTACTTTCTAAATCATGTCCACTCTTCATCCTCACTGCTTTAGTCCAGACCCTCAGATTTTTTTTAGTTATAATATTTTTAGTTATAATTTTTTAATTTTTTTTTTTTTTAGTTATAGACACAATACCTCTATTTTATTTATTTTTATGTGGTGCTGAGGACCAAACCGGGGGCCTCACACATGCTAAGCAAGCACTCTACTACTAAGCTACAATTGGAGCCCCCAGAACCTCAATTTTTAATAACAATAGTCTTTTGTGGAATCCCAACCCCCAATTCACTTCCACACTGTAAGAGTGACCTTTCTAATACAAACTGAACAGGTTGCTCCAGTTGTTGAAATACTTTAATAACTCCCCATTATCACAAGAGAAAAATCCAAACCCTCAGCTTCTCTAGCTTCATCTCCTATCACATTATCTCAAGTAATAATCTAAACCTCCGTATGTTTTCTCACAAATCACCATCCTTTCACATTCTGCTTTGACTTTAAGTGACTTTCTTCTATTTTTGACTAAAATCTGCTCACTTCAGACTCAGTTCAAGCATCACCTCTCCTCAGGGCCTTTGCCTCCCCTTCCTCCTCCCACTATAGCCACAATAGCTCTTAATGGGCTTGCATACAAAATTTCACCTCAAAAGGAGTTCATATACATCCTAAGAAGATGTCTGAAAACCAAGGTTATAGGGAAAATAAGTACAAGTTGGCAGACCTACACTCTAGTCCTACCACTGAGACCAATCTAATTAAACAAGTCACTTTCCCCTTCCCACTCCCTATTTTTCCTGAACTGTATCCCAGACTTTTTTTTTTTTTTTTTTTTTTTTTTTTTTTGGTGCTGGGGAGTGAACCCAGGGCCTTGTGCATGCAAGGCAAGCACTCTATCAACTGAGCTATATCCCCAGCCCCCCAGCCCTTTCTATTTTGAGACAGAGTCTCATTAAGTTACCCAAGCTGGCCTCAAATTAAGCAAGTCACTTTTCCTCTTCAAGACACAATTTCTTACCTATTAAATACCTAATTATATAAATAATTATGTGCGCACACATATGCATATGTATATATATTATGTACACACACACCTATGGACCATTTTTGTCAGAAGTTACTTTTACTTGTAAATTTTACTAAAATGAGAAGGCACAGATTCCTTCCTCTTTTTTTTTTTTTTGGTACCAGGGATTGAACTCAGGGGCACTCAACCACTGAGCCACATCCTCAGACCTTATTTTTTGTATTTTTATTAGAGGCAGGGTCTCACTGAATTAAGGGCCTTGCTGTTGCTGAGGCTGGCTTTGAACTCACAATCCTCCTATCTCAGCCTCCCAAACCACTGGGATTTAGGGGTACGCCACCGCAACTGGCCTCTTTTTCTTTTTGAGACTGAGTATCACTAAATTGCTCAGGGTCTAAATTGCTAAGGTTGGCCTTGAACTTGTGATCCTCGTCTCAGTCTCCCAAGCCACTGAGATTAGCCAGCTACAGATTCCTTCTTTATTATGTGATACCAGGAGGTTTCACAGCCCAGGTAAGGTTAGAGTGGCTGCCTCCCTGGTTTTTTTCCTCCCATTATTGAAACTTTGTATTCTTACCAATCTATTCCATAAGCTTCTTTCTTTTTTCCCATTACCAAGGACTAAACCCAGAGTAAGATGTTTAACCACTGAACTACATTCCCAGCCCTTTTTAATTTTCATTCTTTTTTTTTTTATTAAACTTAGCAAATATCAACATTTTATTTTCTATTAATTCTTATTTTATCATCAGGCATATAGAAAGTCTATTAAGAACTTTCTAAAAATATTCACTGAATTAATAACTTTCATTTTAACAGATATACCTATTGTGTTTCTTTTTATTTCATACATGACAAATAGTGGAATGCATTACATTCATAATTATCCATTCACAGCACAATTTTTCATAACTCTGTATATAAAGTATGCTCACAGCAAATTATACCATTATACATGAGCTCTCTTATTGATTTTTTTTTGCATTACAATTCTTTTTTTTTTTTTTAAAGACAGAGGGAGAGGGAGAGGGAGGGAGGGAGAGAGGGAGAGAATTTTTTTTTTAAATATTTATTTTTTAGTATTTGGCGGACACAACATCTTTGTTTGTGTGTGGTGCTGAGGATCGAACCCGGGCCCCACGCATGCCAGGCGAGCGCGCTACCGCTTGAGCCACATCCCCAGCCCTGCATTACAATTCTTAATACACCTTTATACCACAATTTATCATATCTCTGTTTGTATATAAGGTATGTTGACACCAAATTCACATCTTCATACATGTATTTTATATAATGATGACCATCCCCTTCCACCATCCTTGCTATTCTCCTTCTCCCTCCTTTTCCCTCCCACCCCTATTCCCTATCTAGAGGTAATCTTTAATTTCCATTCTGAGGCAGCAATCTCACTAAATTGTGGAGGCTAGGCTTGAACTTTTTTTCTTTCTTTTTTTTTTTTTAAGAATTTTTAGGGGGCTGGAGATGTGGCTCAGCGGTAGCGCGCTCGCCTGGCATGCGTGCGGCCCGGGTTCGATCCTCAGCACCACATACCAACAAAGATGTTGTGTCTGCCGAGAACTAAAAAATAAATATTAAAAATTCTCTCTCTCTCTCTCTCTCTCTCTCTCTCTCTCCTCTCTCACTCTCTCTTTTTTAAAAAAAAAAAAAAAGAATTTTTAGTGTAGGGGCTGGAGTCGTAGCTCAGCAGTACAGTGTTTGCCATGTATGTGTGAGGCACTGCGTTTGATTCCCAGCACCACATATAAATAAGCAAATAAAAAATAAGGGTCCATCAAACAACTTAAAAAATATTTTTTAAAAATTTTAGCATAGATGGATACAATTTATTTTATTTCTTTATTTATTTTTATGTGGTGCTGAGGATCAAACCTAGTGCCTCACATATGCTAGGCAAGCGCTCTATCGCTGAGCCACAATCCCAGTCCTGAGCTTGAACTTTCAATCTTCCTTCCTCAACCTCCTGAGTATCTGGAATTATAGGCCTGAGCCACCATTCCCAGCTTCCTTCCTTTCTTTTTTTAGAAAAGTTTATTTATTTAATTTTATTGATTAATTGATAGGCACTTGGAATTGAACCCAGAGCCAGGGGTGCTTCATCAGTGAGCCACATTTCCAGCCCTTCTATTTTTTTTGGTACTGGGGATTGAATTCAGGAGCATTCAACCACTGAGCCACATCCCCAGCCCTATTTTGTATTTTATTTAGAGACAAGGTCTCACTGAGTTGCTTAGCACCTCTCTTTTGCTGAGGCTGGCTTTGAACACGCAATCCTCCTGCCTCAGCCTCTTAAACCACTGGGATTATAGGCGTGCGCCACCAGGGCCGGCTCCTTCCTTTCTTAATAGGGTGTAAGACATGATATGTTTCACTTTAAAATGAACTGTCTCGGGGCAGAAAAGGAAAAAATGAACTTGTAGCAAGAAACAACCACCAAGAATCCCTGTCTCTTTTCTCAGGGATACCAAAGAAATGATACAATCTCCTTTGAAAAGCAAATAGTTCAGGAAGAAACACAAGTTCCAAATCCAATGCAACCAGTTCAAATTTCCATTTAGAATGAACCAGGACAAGGAAATAAAACATGCCATTATGGTAATAAATGGACCTCTTCAGAAGTCATGAGACTAAATGATAAGGACAGACAATATTGGTTCTCCATTTTCCCATACCAAATGTCATGAGTATACTATGTCTATACAAGGAATTCCTAAGTATCTATGAATACTAGGACCAAAAATCTGGGATGTTAAAAACAGAATTAAGGGGCTGGGGATGTGGCTCAAGCGGTAGCGCGCTCTCCTGGCATGCGTGCGGCCAGGGTTCGATCCTCAGTACCACATACAAACAAAGATGTTGTGTCCGCCAAATACTAAAAAATAAATATTAAAAATTCTCTCCCTCTCTCTTACTCTCTCCCTCTCTCTTTAAAAAAAAAAAAAAAAAAAAAACAGAATTAAAGGGCAGGCTCAAAATAACACTGGTATGGGCAGGAAAATCGAATTTTTAACCAATTTTTAACCAAGGCCATCAATCTGTTTACTTAAAGGTTTGGAGATAGACTAGTAGAAGACTACTTACCTGATTAAAAGTGGGAGGGGGAGGAGGGCCAGGAGGGGGAGGAGGAGGAGGAGGAATTGGCATCCTTGCCCTGCTCCCTGTTGGCACTGCTCTCTCTCCGTGTTTACTTGCAGCTTTAGGTCACTCATATACCTGTAAATGAAATAAATAATCATAAGAATTACTTTACCATTAAAGACACTGAGGAGTCTTGCACACTTTAAGAGGACTAGAGGACTAGGCATGGCACTAGAGAGACTAAGCACCTCATATTCTAGATGTGATGTAATATAATCCAGAGCTTGGTAAACATTCTTGATAAAAGGCCAGATAATAAACATTTTAGGCAACAGTCTCTGTTGCATATTATTTTTCCTTTGTTTTGTTAACCTTTCTTTCTGGTTTTTTTTTTTTTTTTTTTTTTTTTGAGGTGCTGGGGACTGAACCCAGAGCCTTGTGCATGCTGAGGAAGAACTCTCTCTACCTCTGAGGCACAATGAAGCCCATTCCCTTCTTTTTTTAAATAAATAAGTATTTATTTATTTATTACCAGGGATTGAACCTAGGGGAGCTTAATCACTGAGCTCTTTTGAGACAGGGTCTCACTAAGTTACTTAGGGCTTCACTAAGTTGCTGGGGCTGGCTTTGAACATGAGATCCTCCTGCCTCAGCCTCCCAAGTTGCTGGGATTACAGGTATGCACTGCTGTGCCAGCTTAAACTTTATTTTTAAAGCAGTTTTAGATTCAGCAGCAAAACGAGCAAAAACTACATAAAATTATCATATACTCTGTCTCCACACATGAATACCCTCCCATACTACAGGTACATTTGTTACAAATGATAACTCTATAGTGACACATCATTAACATCCAAAGTCCATAATTTACATAGGGTTCACTCTTGGTATGGTACATTCAGTGGGTTTTGACTAATGTACAATGAGTTACATCTACCATCTTATAGTATTATATAGAAGTTTTATGGCCTTATAAATCCTATATTCTATTAATCTTGTTTTCCTCCCAATTCTTTCTTTCGTATATATAAACTTTTTAGTTGTAGACAGACATAATACCTTTATTTATTTTTATGTGGTGCTGAGGATCGAACCCAGTGCCTCACATGTGCTAGATAAGCACTCTGCCACTGAGCCATAACCCCAGCCAATCCCTCCAATTCTTAAGCAACCACTGATCTTTTTACTATCTTCATAGTTTTTCTGATTCTAGAATGTCATATAGTTGAAATCATATGCCATAGAGCATCTTCAGATTGTCTTTTCATTTGGTAATAGGCATTTAAGAGTCCTTCATGTCTTGACATCTCTTTTAGCTTCTTTTGAGATGAGGTCTCATTATATTGCCCAGGCTGATCTCTAATTCCCGTGCTCAAGTGATTGTCCTGCCTCAGCTTCAGAGTTGCTGGGACAATAGTCACATGATACTACATCCATTTTTTAAGCTCTTTTTCTTTTTTAGTGTTGACTAATATTCCATTGTTTAGATATACTACAGTCTGCTCATCCATTCCTACTGAATGACATCTTGGTTGCTTCTACGTTTTGTCAATTCTGAAGAAAGGTGCTATAAACATCCATGTGAAGGGTTTTTCAACTCCTTTGGGTAAATACTAAGCAGTGTGACTGTTGGATCACATGATAAAAGTATGTTGTATTCTGTAAGAAACTGCCAGACTTCTTCCAAAGTGGCTGTACCATTTTGCTTCACATCTTTGCATCATGGGTGGTTTTGGATTTTGGCTATTCTTTTTTTCTTTGTTTGCTGGTCTGCAGTACTGGAGTTTGAATCCAAAGGCACTCAACCACGGAGCTACATATCCAACCCTTTTTATTTTTTAGACAAAGTCTCGCTAAGTTGCCCAAGCTGGCCTCAAACTTGTGATCCTCCTGCCTCAGCCCAAGTTACTGGAAATACAGGCAAGCACTACTGCAACCACATAAAAAAAGGATTTGTTTGTTTTTTGCCAGCACTGGGGATGGAACCCAGGTCCTTGCACATACTCAGCATGTGCTCTACCACTAAGATGTATGAATTTTGGCAGTTGTATAAGGTGTGTGGTGGTATCTTGTTTTAACGTGCAATTCCTTAATGACATGATGTTAAACATATTTTCATATGCTTACTTGCCATCTGTATATCATCTCTGGTGAGGCTGTCTGTTTAGGTCTTTGGACTTTTTGTATGTGTGTGCTGGGGACTAAACCTAGGGCTCTACCATGATAAACCCATGCTCTACCACTGAGCTACACCCAATCCCTATTTATCATTTTTTTTTCTATTTATCATTTTTAAAAACTGACTTGTTTTGTTTCCTTATTGTTCAGTTTCAAGAGCTCTTTGTATGTTTTAGATAACAGTCCTTTATCAGATATGTCTTCTGCAAATATTTTCTCCCAGTCTGTGGCCTGACTTTTCCTTCTCTTGATTTTCATAATCTTTTAAAAATAAAAACCAGTCTTAGTTTGAGGGCCAAATAAAAATAGGCTATGGATCAGATATGACTCATAGGCCATAGTTTACTGACACCTGGTATAAGCACATTCACGGAATCTGATAAAGGCATAACTTACCATCTGAGAAGGTAGCCACTTATAAAGTCGTAGAACAGCACTCAAAAACTACAATAGCTGTCCCCCATAGTCACACTCATGGAAGCTGATCAGAGCATAACTACCACATGAAAAGTTATCTATCAAGTAACAAAACAGCACTCAAATATACTGCTGTCCCCCATTATAGTTTTTTTTTGTGGTACTAGGGATTGAACTCCTGGGCACGCCACCACTAAATTACACCCCAGCTGCTGCTGCTATTGTTCTTTTTCTTCTTTTTTTTTGGAGTCAGGGTCTAAGTTGCCAAGGCTGGCCTCAAATTTGCAATCCTCCTGCTTCAGCTTCCTAAATTGCTGAGATTATAAGCACTTACTATCAGGCCAGCCCTCTATTATAGTTTGTAACTAATCTGCATTTCACAAATGAGGCTAAAACCAGGAAAGTAATTTACCCGAAGACATTAAAATAGGGGCTAAAGATATAACAGTAATTACTTCTAAAATGGTTGGTCTCAAGGAAATCCCATTTCTTCCTTTCTTTCCTTCTGTCTCAGTATATTGTCCAGACTGGTCTCAAAACTGCTGGTCTGCAGCAATCCTCCTGCCTCAGCTCCCACAAGCAGTTGGGACTATAGGTGTGCATCACTGTATCCAGCTAGGAAATTGCATTTCTTGATCCCCAAAACTGAAATATAAAAAGGGCTGGGGATGTGGCTCAGTGGCTGTTCATCCTAGAATGCGTATCAGCTCTATGCCAAAGCCATCATTGCTTCCTCAGGCTAAATTTTAGCTAATAACAACCACAAGATTTCTAAGATTGAAGATAAGAGTACTATAGTTGTCCTCTGTCCCGTTACCAAACCAAGTACCATTTAGCCCCTGATCACCAAGCAATTCACTGCAACCAAGCAGAAGCTACAACACATTTCCAGACATTTTATATACAGGCAGTAAAAGATACTAGCCATTTTTCCTTTCCAGTCCTAGGATCTACAATACAAAAGGAAAAGAAAATGTGCCTCTTTGTATTGTCAAAGCTAAAAAACAACTTGAAATCACAGTGCTATATCATCTTCTAAAAAGATGTTGCATAAATCCAAGGCAGATGATTATTACATCTATTTTCAAGGCCTGTGTCAATTTTCCATTTTTCCAAAAGCATTAATAAATTCCTGGATTTAGGCAGCAAAATATAGAGTAGCTAAATACTCATAATTAATATTTCCTCCCCACCCACATATCCTAAGAACCAGGGGACTTAGGGATTTAGCAGAAAAATGGAGTCACACAAGGCCAAAGTTATTGTCATCAGTCAATATTTAATACTAGGGAAGAGAGAGGAGTTAATCAGATGAAAGACACATCCTAATTTAGAAATGCAGACCAAAGCTAGACAGACTAAAACAGAGTCTGAATACAAAAGCAATGCTAGGTGATAGCTAAGGAGTTTGTCATGGAAGCATGAGATGTCACTAATAGTTGAGAAAGAACTCTTTTAAATCAGGGTTTTCAAATATGCCTTAAGATAAGATACATTTAAAGGATCTGTTTAAAACACAAACACAAAAATATCTGTGGGGGCTGGGGTTATGGCTCAGTGGTAGAGTGCTTGCCTAGCACATGTAAGGCCCTGGGTCTGATCCTTAGCACCACATAAAAACAAATGAATAAGGGTATTGTATCCAACCACAACTAAATAAATAAATAAATAAATAAATAAATAAATAAATAAATAAATAAATCTGTGGGCCCTAAATCCACACCCACATAAAATCAGAAAATTTCCAGAAGACCTGATATTTTATATATTAAAGAAGCACCTTAAGTGATACTTGGGGTTAGGGAAATCTGGAAAACACTGTATCAAAGGAGTATTACTAATCACAGACACAGTATTACACTGCACAGATACTATGGTGTTTTAATGGACATCTGCAAGAAAAAGCTGATGAATGTGTAGGTTAAACATGATAGACTAAATGCATTTATCAATGTTCCCTCATAAAAACACCATTAAAATGACAGCAAAGATGGGCTGGGGTTGAGGCTCAGTGGTAGAGTACTTGCCTAGCATGTGTGAGTTATTTTATTATAAATAAAATAAAGTTATAAAAAAGTGTTGGAGATAACTATTAGAATCTATGTTCTAATTGGTTGTACAATTTAAAAAAATAAGGGCTGGGGTTGTGGCTCAGTGGTAGAGTACTCGCCTAGTGTGTGAGAGGCCCTAGGTTCGATTCTCAGCACCACATATAAATAAATAAATAAAAAGAAAGGTATTGTGCCCAACTACCAAAAAAAAAAAAAAAAAAAAAAACAAAAAGCCAGGCCTGGTTGTGCACACCTGGAATCAAAGCAATTTGGGAGGCTAAGGCAGGAGTATCACAAATTCAAGAACAGTCCCAGCAATTCAGCAAGGCCTTAAGCAACTTAGCAAGACCCTTTCACAAAAAAGAAAATTAAAAAAGGGCTGGGGAGGGGCTAGGGCTGTAGCTCAGTGGCAGAGCCCTTGCCCTGCATGTGTGAGGCACTGGGTTCGATCCTTATACCATATGATAAAATAAACAATAAAAAAAGGCA